TACCTTTCAAAGCCCCTTCAATCAGCCGAAACTAAGCCTGAAATTCTATGACTTCACTTCGCTTCGCTTCGTTCGTTGGGGAAGAAAGTTGCTTCAGTCAGACCAAGCCTATCCTAAATAGGAAAAACCTGGTTCTAAACCTTACTTGACTATAAAAAAACTTGACTTGCTGCCGCTACTTCTGATTGATTGACCCATTCTAGAGAAAGTGCTGCCTTTCGGCTTGTTGGAATGTGGTTCTTGCTCATAGCCTCAAAGACCATGAGGGAGCCTCCTTAACTATTTACAATGGGATTCAGACAAGGAAGGCTGTGAAGCATGCAGACTGATTCCCTTTTCTTACGTGAATGAGAGACTACTTCAATGCAGATAGCTTTCACTCCTACGAAGAAGGGTTTATGACTATAGGCAAGAAAGAAAGAATAGAACGCTTGCCCCTGATACATTTGGAAGGAATGTCGCCCTTAGCGGCCTCCTTCTATCGACATCGACGGCTCCGAGGAAAAAAGAGCATCTTATTGCCATGACCAGATCACTGCCATCTCACGAATTGGATTCGAACCAATATCTCACTACTTTCCATTTAGTAGATCGAAAGGGGGTTTCCATTCTTTCTGACTTTCCAGGTAGAGTGGAATCACATTAGGCACCCCTCCCCGGTGAGATATTTTGTCGTAGAAAAGGTAGACGTCCCTCATTGAAGGAAAATCTTTCCACGGTACTCGGACAAAGCCTAATACGATTATGAGAGGGGCCCGCCTAACCACTCCCCCCTCCCCTTCTCACGGAAAGAAAGAAAGATTACTCACGATGAAAAAGGCCCCCCCAAACGGCTGCGTGAACTCAATTGCATCGACCCTCATTCACTGCGCTAACTTCGAGTCCTCTCTAGCCAAAACCAGGAAGCAGTTTCCCCCCTTCCCAGAAAAATGAAAAATAAGCGATTTAAAGATCAGTTCAATTGAAACCTTCTTTCTTCGATTGGAATACAAATAAGATCAGAAAGTCCATCAAAAAGGCAAAGAATGCAATAGCTTGATACGAGATGTGGTATCCCATAAAGAAGAAAGCACTCCCCAAATTGACAATATAGTTTTTTCCCGCTCTCATGATGAGAAGAAAACCCCTTTGCCTTGCCACTCGCGTCGGAGTTCCTTTTCTCTGCCCCCTGACTTCCGGAGTTCTTTTAATTCACGGAAGAGGACTTTGACGAACTTTGGAGACTCTCGGCGATCTCTCCCATCCTTTCCGCTCCATACAATTCCTCGGCGATTTCTGCCAGGCGCTCGCCCTGAAACTCCCCCAGCGGAATTGTGTTGACTTCTCGGCAGATGAGAGTAATTGTATGGGCGACCGATTCATGCGCATTTAGCAAGCGCTTCAAGTTTTCCAGAGAAGGAGCCTGCGCCTCGGTCCTCTCCTGCGACTCCACATGGGGATAACTCTCCCGTTGGAGTTCCAGTCGTCGCTGCTCTTCAGAGAGCAAGTGGGGCCGAACCTCATCGAAGGCGGCAATCCCCTCCCGAAACTCCGGAGTTGGCATGCGAAGAACAGGAAATTGTTCCGACAAGGACGGCCCTATCCTGACCCTAAGAGTCTGCGCCTGCAATTGAGGAAGAGAAGTGTCCCCAATTGTCAGACGGGCCAGGAGGTGGTGTACTAGACCCCCCATACATTCCCCCCGACGAGTCAGGGTAGAATTGGGCTACAGCCCGGGAGAGATCCTCCTTCAAGACATACCCAAGTGAAACGGCTACCTTTGCCAGAATCAGAGGCAAGAGCACTTTCCCAATGCGAAAGACTAGGAAAAGTACTCCTTTCGGCACCTTCTTCACAAGCGGTAAAGAACATCTTTTTCATAAAATTGAGATTATTTCGTTTCCTTCCAACTCAGAGAGGGGTCCCGGGGCTTCACTTATTCTCCTCTTCGCCCTATCTCAGGATTTGCATCTATAGGACGCGGAAGACTTACCAAAAACTTCATGCTCCAAGTCGAAGTGAAGTTCTTTGTCCTGTTTATTGTATTGGCAGAGAGTATCAACAACGATCAATGGCAACGCAGTCCAGAGGATCGAAAGAATCTTACTCCAGATGTAAAGATTCACCAGAACATTCATCCTGATCATATCCTAGAAAAAAGTGAAACCAATATCCCACCCCACCCATGCTGATCTCGGTCAGGGTGGGAAGTCGATCAGGAGTGGCGCATCAACAGAAGCAGAAGAGGGCTTCCTTCGCTAGGAAATCGGACTATTATACCGCTACTGACTGACTGGACTTACATCCAGGGAGTGAATTCTCTAGGTTAGGTGAGCTCTTATTCGTCCCTGGCGGACCTGTATACTATTATCCTCTTGGGTAGAAAGAGATTAGCACCAACTGGGATCATAAATAAACTATTGCTTTAGTAGAACGCCATAAAAAGAAGGTAGCATTTTCTTGTCACGATGTAATTCCTCAATTATGATTGATCT